TCCACCGGCGTTGTTGCTCCTCGCCTGCATATTGGCGCTTACCTCTATACCTAGGACTCGTTGACTCTAATACTATACGACCACGGTACTACACTCAGGATCCCTGCACCAACGACGCCAGTGGGAACGCCGCTCCTCGCTTCAATTGGTCTTGCTACTAGTACTACTACTATACTACTTTACTATTACTACTACTACTACTACTACTACTACTACTATACTACTACGACCACGTGTACTGCACTCAGGATCCGTTCACCAACGATGCCGGTGGGAATCCCGCTCCTCGCTTCAATTGGTCTTGCTTCTAGTACTACTACTATACTACTTTACTACTATTACTACTACTACTACTACTACCAATACTACTACTATATACTACTACTCAGGCCACCGCGAACGCCACCTGGGCTCGGCATGCCGCTCCTCGGCTGAAGGTTGCAATTAATAGTAGTATAGTAGTCGTCGTCGTAGTAGTAGTAGTACTACTACTACTACTACTACTACTGAGGCCGTCAATTGCTTTTGCGGTTGTGGCCACCTCGCTCCTCGGTTCGAATTGGTCTTGGTACTACTACTACTACTACTACTACTACTACTACTACTACTACTACTGAGGCCGTCAGCTGGATATGCGGTGATGGCCACCTCGCTCCTCGGTTCGAATTGGTCTTGCTACTACTACTACTACTACTACTACTACTACTACTACTGAGGCCGTCATCTGGATGTGCGGTGATGGCCACCTCGCTCCTCGGTTCGAATTGGTCTTGGTACTACTACTACTACTACTACTACTACTACTATACTACTGAGGCCGTCAGCTGGATGTGCGGTGATGGCCAGTCTTGGTACTACTACTACTACTACTACTACTACTACTACTACTACTACTAGTATACTACTACTACTGAGGCCGTCAACTGCTTTTGCAATGGTGGCCACCTCGCTCCTTGGTTGGAATTGGTCTTGGTACTACTACTACTACTACTACTACTACTACTATTATTACTACTACTACTACTACTACTACTACTACTACTATACTGCTGAGGCCGTCAACTGGATATGCGGTGATGGCGCCGCTTCTCTTAACATATCTCTTTCTCTCTTTCTCTCTCTCTCTCTCTCTTTCTCTCTGTCTCTCTCTCTCTCTCTCTCCCTCTCTCTCTCTTTCTCTGTTTTTCTCTTTCTCGCTCTTTAGTACTACTACTACTACCAGTACCGCTACTGCTACTGCCGAGGCCCTCAGCATCGCCCGTGGTCCAGCAGCTGCCGCCGCTTCTCTTAATATATCTCTCTCTGTCTTTCTACTACTACTACTACTACTACTATATACACTCCTGGATGCCAGGAGTATTTCCTGTCCTGGATGCCAGGACTATTTCTATGTAATCACAATGACGACGACTACTACTACTACTACTAAGGACGGGACTGACGATGATGCCTCTCACTCCGCTCCTCGGCCGGTACTACTGTGCTGTGATACCATATGTGCTGCTATGCTGATCTCGAGGTCGTCCCCGGGGGAGACGACCTTACCGTACTGGATGAGATCGCCGGCCTCGCGTGCGAGCACAGAGAGCGTTCAGATGCCGACTCCGCCAGCTGCAGCCACCAAGCGGATCCGATTGGTATAAAAAGAATCTAGGTCTCGCTTGAGGTAAATAGAGCACATTATAGGTCTAGCTTGAGGTAAATAGAGCACATTATGGTGGCGAAAGGATCCTCTTGGCGGGCCCGGGCAATGAAGGCGGCCAAAAAATGCACCGCTGGGCGAAGCGACTTCTCTCTCTCACTCTCTCTGTCTAGCTCTCTCTCTTCTCGACTCTCAATCCTGCACGGTGAGCTGCGCAGGACGTCTACACCGGGCGGCCTGGCAGTCTGTGGCCTGGAATATATTCTGTGTTTCCACTATACTTCTGCTACTAACTACTGCTACTAACTACTTCTACTACTAACTACTGCTACTTCTACTACTACTATACAACTACTACTTTACCACTACTACTGCTACTACTACTACTACTACTACTACTACTACTACTAGTACTACTACGACTACCACTACTATACTACTGCTATACTATGTATTGCTGTGTGTTTGGCGCCTGGCGCCGCCGCAGCTCCACAACCACTATAATCGATCTGTCCTGGATGCCAGGACTAATAATCGATCTGTCCTGGATGCCAGGACTATCTCAGGTGTCGGCATCTGCCACCCTGACTGCCACCATGTACCACGACCACGTACCACCACCACCAATGACAGCATGCGACCACGGACAAGGACTAATATCGTAAACGTCTCACTCCTCGTATCCGGCTATTTTTTGCCTGCAGCTCCAATTAAGGACATCCATGGGCATCACCAAGAAACGTGTCATTCAAGCAGGTGGGCCCGGGTCCAACTCTGTCAGTGCCTGGAATTGCTGCCTGCATGCAGAGCCGGTTTGCCACAATGTTTGTGTTGAATGATGCAGCATTGAATTTCTCCTCGAGCCTAAGCAAACGTGAATCCGAGATCAAGCAACCATCAGGTTTTCAGCTCTAGCTATGCATTTCGTTCCTCCTGGAACTCATCGGGCCTAAATGCGTACATCACACATAGCACCATTGGTACATTCAGTGATTGCACGCAGAAACGACGTAAGCACTAAACAAGCTCGAGATGTCTCGTGGCCGCGGGCGCCCAGCGGGCATGGTGGAGTTCAGTCCGGACGATGAGCAGTGCAATGACATTGTTCATCGTCTCGTGGAAGGTGCACCTGATGCTTTCAAGCAGCAGCTGCAGAAGGACGGCGTCAACGTCTTTAAAAATGCAGCGAAGCCGGCTAAGACAAAAATGGCATCAAGAGTTCAGCTGGAGGACTGGCCACACACGGTAGGTCGAGTAGTTCCAAGTGCACATTCATCACGACACATGCAATACGCGATTGAAGCTATGCATGCAGGAGCATTTGTGGTTGCTCAGGCCGCTGGTGGATGTCAGCCCGCTGCTGCCGTACGCCACGGACGGATTGGGCCGAGTCTGGGATGCTTTTGTCCAAAAGCATACGGCTAACCTGGATAAAGATGTGATCTTCTTGCACGTTGTGGAGATCAAGATGATGCTGCAGCTGCTGGGTTGCAACCGATGTTTCTGGATCCCCGTTTTTGACCCCCAGACCGCAATCGTTTAAGCAACGCCCCTAAAGCCCTATGTCCCGTAAACCCAACGCAGGTCCTTGAGGAAGCTCTGGCGAAGCTGGCGTTACTTGAGCAAGGTTTCTGGCCTTAAGGGTTGGCCACCTGCGGCACGTGAGCATCCCAGCATCCGGTTCCTTTCGATCACAAATTTTGTGTTCTTCCAAACACTAGCTGAGCGATGCCTGAATAAGGGCGATATCCAAAACTCCTGGAGATCATGGACGTGATGCAAGAACCGGAAGATGAAGAGGAGGTCGACGTATCGGCCATGTGGGGTTTGGAGGCACTTTGTAGATCCTGCTAGGCGCATGCTGTGGCATGACTCGACATGTGCGGCCGGCCGTTGAATGCATGATCAGGCTTCGACAGACACAAATGAACTGAGCGAGCGCATAGCGGCCGAGTGGAACCTCGAGGAAGCAGATGTCGCTGCAACAGCGGAAGATGCCGAAACTCTGGAGGCGTGGTGCTAGGCTTGGCATCCTGTATCGATATCTAGATTGCTCGTCAGCTTCCTGACGTCCAGGAAACGACGTTGCAAATGCAGATCAAGAACAAAAGAAAGGTTTTGATGGATCACCTGCAACAGCAGATTCAGGATGTGTCCGACTCGGAGGCTCGATGGTTCTGCTTGCTGGCATTAATTCTGAAAACCACAATCTTTCACCCCCTCGAGGAAGATACTTCGGCCAAGCCTGCGGCCAGCTCCGACCGCAAAACGGGCACCGATGCTCGGCTGAAACAATTCCCCGGTGAATTATTGAAAACCACAATCTTTCACCCCTCTGAGGACGATACTGCGGCCACGCCTTCGGCCAGCTCCAACCGCAAAACGGGCCCCGATGCTCGGCTGAAACAGTTCCCCGGTGAATTATCGAGGCCTCGCCTTTAGGGCCGGAGCCTCCCTCAATTCTCAATTCTTCAGAAGTCTGATCTCAGGCCAGGTGTTCCCAAATCAGTGCCCGCCTTGCATATGTTGCTGAGCCCGACTATCTGGAGGATGTTCTCCCCAAAGCCGCGCCGGTCGATGTCGAGAAACAGACTGCCCTGGCTGCCAAAAAAAAGGCAAAAAAGACGAAGGCTGCGAACTCCGGCAACTGGACACCCTATTATGTGAAGTCTGTGAAGAGGAAGCCTGCCAATCTCTGGGTGGTCTGGGACAGGATGCAGGACAAGCAGTGTGTGCAGATCCGCCAAGATGCCAGCCCCGACGTCGAGAGTTTGCTGAGAACATTGGTGGATGACCTGAACGCTGGCAAGATCGAAGTGAAGGAGGTGGTGGATCGAGTGAACCAGCTGAAGGCTAAGTAAGTGGGTGCAGCTGGCCGGACAACAAAAGGACTGCATGCATGCACGATGAGCACCTATGCCCATTCTTTTGTTGTATGTGGCCAGCTTGCTCGCATGCGCCGTCTCCTGCATTCATGGGTGTTGCTGTCAGCGTCTGCAGGTTTTCGTGTGCAAGCCGCGGCATCGAGCTCGACTGCCCAGCCAGGCACTCGGTCGAATCGATACATGATTTGATTCGCGGTCTGTCCGACATGCACAGCTGTTCCCGAGCCTCAGCTCCGCTTGGCTCCGTGAATGAGTATCCTGCACTATGGACGTGAGACGTCCCAATGCCGGCCGGTTGCAGCGCCGACTGCAACAGCTTTGTGTCATGGATCTGATATTGGTCTATGGCTTGTACGTGAACCAATGTCCGTGGGTCTTGCTGTCCTGCTTTGTGTACCAGTACCAGCTTAATTGCTCTCTTCGTGCTTATTTTCATCGCTTTGCCAGGTGCTCATCGAAGCCACGCTTTACGCATGCCTTTTCCGTGCTCGCCGTCCCTTGGCACAGGCCCCTCATCTAAGCATTCTGTTGCACCACCGGCTCGAATTCCTCGTGTTGCTGATTTGCTCGCAATCCCACAACTTCATTCTCTGCAGGAGCTTCTCGACCCTCTGCATTGCATTGAGTTCTTTGCCGGCCAGAGTGGAAGTGCCAAGATTGCCAAGTGCTTCAAGCGTCTGGGCCGTCGAGTGCAGGCCTTCGACCTGAGTCGCCCCTTGGATCTATATAGACTTTGAACACGCTGTGCTGCTCGGTCGTATTTCATGTCTCAGGTTCCGAGACTCACAATATGGATTCGACCGAAGGTTTCCTGGCCGGGCTCTTGAGCATCCTCAGGCTGCGACCCGGATCCTTCGTGCACTTTGGGACGGTCTGTACTTCCTTCACATGGATAAACGCCGGCACGCACGGTCGACGGCTCTGGCAGCCCCTTGGCAATCAACATCTGGACTATGTCGCCCTCGGAAGCCGGCTTGTGGAAAGGACCGTTCTACTTGCTTTGTTGGCTTGGCACATGGGAGCCGTGTTCTCCATTGAGAACCCGCTTGGCTCTATGATTGCGGAACAGCCAATTTTCCAGATCATGATCCAATACTTCAAAGAGAAGTCAGGAGGTTGGATGTTGCATTCCTTTCTGCTCCTTCTTTGCCTATAGACTTGACCCTGCGAGGTATATGGAGAGGACATGTTCCACTAGGATGTTATGGCGCCCCATCCCGAAAGATGGTCTGGATTTACTCCTGCAGCGAAAAAATGCTGGAGCACCTCATGAACGAGAGCTCAGTCACAGATGATGCAACCGCCGTGCAGGAGGAGGGGACTGCGAATGGGCCGGTCACGTACCGGCCCCTGGGCAAGCTTGGAAGAGTTTCCTGTGTGCGTGCGGACAGCTTATATAGTAGCTATGCACTTGCCATGGTTCTTTGAAGCTGCTCAGGGTATGGAACGATACAACTCAACGGGTGTCGGTCCAGGGAGGTCCGGGACTCAAAGCGACACAATGCTATCCTACAAGGCCAGCCCTGTAGTGATCCAATGTTTAAACCACACATTGGAATGAACGAATCATGTGCCCTGGCCAGGTTTGCTAAAGCCATCACCCACTGGTGGTCTCAGAATCACCGAGCCCTTCGTTGTGAGGGTTTTCAACGACGGCATGGCCTTGCTGATGCAGCCACGGGCAAACACCCAAGGGTGATGATTGAGGATCTTGTGCGGATCAGCCAGTTGAACCATGCTGCCATGGGCATGAATGGCTTCCTGCAGCAGTGTGATGATCTGTTCGGGTAGCTATGGATCTACATCCACAGGAAATGCTACCCGTTACCCACCCGTTACCTAAATAAAAGACCTAGGCTTAATAGCTCTAGCCATACCCGTTACCCACCCGTTACCCCCCGTTACCCTGTTGTGACACCAATCTATGCACCATGTGGTGAATCCTGGATGCTGGTCAGAGGCCGCACAAAAAAGACTTGAGCAATGCCGTTGGTACCCTTTCCCATGTTGGTCCAGTGATCATGCAAGTGACCGCACACAGAACACTCTCATTGTGTCGCTGTGGGTCGACTCCTGAGGCTTTTGTTAGGTAGGGTAGCTCCGTTTTTCGGCGATGCCTGGTGCCAAAGAGACGCTCAAGATCAAGGACGAGCTGCTTGACAAGGCTCTTCATGCCATGGCGGTCGGCTCCGGAAGCCAGCTGAGTGCAATGGCAGCTCCGTGAGGGACTCGTGCGTTTGTGCTGTGCTGGTGTTGCTGCCCTGCACGATTGCATCGGTGTAAGGGTCGTTGTGCTGCAAGGGTCGCCGACGAGCTCGAGACCCAGCTGGAAGCTATGATTGAAGAGATGGATGCTGAAGAAGCTGCCAGCTGCAATAAAAGAAAGGCCAGCGAGGCCTTTGAGGAGCCGTCAACGACGACGGAGGATGCCAAACTCACGGAACTTCGCAAGCTAAAGGAAGCCGAGGCCCACGTTACAACCCCGTTGCTGTTTTGATGCCACCTCGAAAAAGCAAACTGTGCTTTTTGGGTACTCCCCAACCTTGCTTGGCCAGGCTTTGAAAAGAAGGGAATGCGAAGAGCTGCTACGCAAGCAGCAGGAAGCCGAGGCCCGTGTTCTGGTCTATAGTCCTGTTGTTCCGGATTCCTCCCCATTGCTTGATCAGGCTTCCAAAAGAAAGGAAGCCGAGCTCTTACGCAAGGCCGAGGCGCCCTTACCCTCCGAGTCCTGTTCTTAAGATCGTGCTTCGCCACCATTACTTGCCCAGGAGTTGAAACGATCGCAAGAGGAAGAGCTGCTGCGCAAACAAAAGGAAGCCGAGGCCCCTGTTGCAGTTTCACTCCATTCTTTCCGGGTTTCCTCACCATTCCTTGACCAGGATTTGAAGAGAAAGGAAGAAGAAGAGAGGCTTCGAGAGCTGTTACGCGAAGCTGAGGCCCGTGTACTCTATAAGTCCTGGTTTTTGAATGTTTTTGAGTCTCCTCACTATTGCTTCACCAGGCTTTGAAGAGAAAGCAAGAGGAAGATCTGCTGCGCAAACAAAAGGAAGCCGAGGCCCCTGTTGCAGTCTCAGTCCATTCTTTCCGAGTTTCCTCACTTTTCCTTGACCAGGAGTTGAAAAGAAAAGAAGAAGAAGTGCGGTTCCGAGAGCTGTTACGCGAAGCTGAGGCCCGTGTAGTCTATAAGTCCTGGTTTTTGAATGTTTTTGAGTTTCCTCACTATTGCTTCACCAGGCTTTGAAGAGAATGCAAGAAGAAGAGGTGGTGCGCAAGCAGAAGGAAGCCGAGGCCCTTGTAAGACGCCGTCCGAGTCCTCTTTTTCTGCGTTTCCAGACCATGGCTTGACCAGGCTTTGAAGAGAAAGGCAGATGAAGAGCTCTTGCGCGAAGCCGAGGCCCGTGTATAGTCTGTGAGTGCTGGTTTTGGGGTTTTCTCAGCATTGTTTCAGGAGGCTTTGAAGAAAAAGCAGGAACAAGAGCTGCTGCACAAACAGAAGGAAGCCGAGGCCCTTATGCCGTGCGAGTCGTGATTTGCAGAATTTCCTCATGATGATTTGAGCAGGATTTGAAGAAACTGCAAGAGGAAGAGCTGCTGCGCAAGCAGAAGGAAGCCGAGGCCCTTCTGCCGTGCGAGTCGTGATTTGCAGAGTTTCCTCATGATGATTTGAGCAGGATTTGAAAAAAATGCAAGAGGAAGAGCTGCTGCATAACCAGAAGGAAGCCGAGGCCCTTATGCCGTGCCAGTCGTGATTTGCAGAATTTCCTCATGATGATTTGAGCAGGATTTGAAAAAACTGCAAGAGGAAGAGCTGCTGCGCAAGCAGAAGGAAGCCGAGGCCCTTCTGCCGTGCGAGTCGTGATTTGCAGAGTTTCCTCATGATGATTTGAGCAGGATTTGAAAAAAATGCAAGAGGAAGAGCTGCTGCATAACCAGAAGGAAGCCGAGGCCCTTATGCCGTGCCAGTCGTGATTTGCAGAATTTCCTCATGATGATTTGAGCAGGATTTGAAAAAACTGCAAGAGGAAGAGCTGCTGCGCAAGCAGAAGGAAGCCGAGGCCCTTCTGCCGTGCGAGTCGTGATTTGCAGAGTTTCCTCATGATGATTTGAGCAGGATTTGAAAAACCTGCAAGAGGAAGAGCTGCTGCGCAAGCAGAAGGAAGCCGAGGCCCGTGCTGCCGTACCACATCATTTTAAGGGTTTCCTCACCCTTGCTTCACCAGGCTTTCCAGAAACAGGAAGATTGCCAGCAGAAGGAAACCGAGGCCCATGTTAAAGTCCGATTTAGGGTTTCCTCATCTCGCCATTGCTTGACCAGGATTTGAAGAGACACCAAGAGGAACCGCAGCAGAAGGAAGCCGAGCCCTGTCTTAAGACTTTCGATTTGCTGTTGTTGGGATTCCTCGCTGATTGCCTGATGAAAGAAATGGATATGCCCCTATATATAGGCTGGGACGCAGAATCTTGCCAAGCTCCTGAAGGATGAGGCCGCTTCACGTCCGTTGCATTATAATGTGCTCACGAATGTCTGAATTCGACAGGTGCCTGCAGGAACAAAGGACACCCAGGCAGGATATGCTGCATGACACATACCCAGTGCAGAACACATTCCATGGCACTTTGAGAGGTGATGCTTTTGATGAAGCAACTCCAGGAGTTGCGGCGACAGCGGGAGGCCTCATGTAACTCAAGATTACTCGCACGTATTCTTGACAAATCCCACAGCTAGAGACGTTGCCATGAGACATTTGCAGGACTTGGAGCAGAAGAGCAAGCCAAGAATCCCGCAGGAGGGCCACACATGAACCTTCAACATATGCTCATTGCAAGTTTTTCCTGCATGTGGAGCCTGCCCTATAGGCTATAGACAAGCGTTGCCAGGAGGCGCTGGATAAGCTCCTGGGCCAGGGTGATGAAAACAATGATGGGAGGGCTGCCCCATGCAAGCATATTGTAAGCCGGTATGTAGTATCTAGAACTGGTTTTGTGGAGTGAGATGTAGATATGTCTCGACCAATGCAGTGGCAAGGATCCAGAGGACGAGGCGCTTCTACAAATGGGGTGGGGAAGAGTCAAAGTGGAGAAGCCGCCCGATGCCGCGAAGACGGCCGACGCCGCGAAGGCTGCGAAGGCAGACGATGCCGCACAAGCGGCCGATGCCGCAAAGGCGGCCGATGTCGCGAAGGCGGCCGATGCCGCGAAGGCGGTGCCGCGGGACTACAACCACAGACAGGCGGCAATGAAGCTGCTTCGCCTTCGAAGAAATGTGAACAGGATGGCTGATTTACCACCAAAGCTGCGGGAGTTGGTGGCCAATGACGAGGAATCCTGTGTCCAAGTTGGACAACATTTTACATGTTTATGGGTACTTAAAACAAATTAGGAATGAAACTGTAAATTTTTAGTCCTATTCCAACCATGCACTACAGGAGGCTGCGAGCAAACTGCTCAGAGAGCACGGCGGAAACCTGGAGGCGATGATCCAGTCTGCGAAGCACAGCATCTTCAAGGAGACTGCAGAGATTGACACGGAGACGACAACTCCGTTGACGGAGTTTCAGGACGGGCCTCGATGGGCTGGGCTTGCAGTTGCTTCTTGTTGTTCCCGTGCTTACTTCGTTGCTTATTGCTCGCTTGCACAGTAAACTTTGGTCGTCCTCCCACTTTGCATATAGGTTGCTTGGTTCGTTGCTCGGTCTTCGCTTGTGTGCAAGCGCTACCGTAGGTCGATTTGTTGCTTGGTTGCTTGCTTGCTTCGTTGCTGGTTCGCTTGCACAGTAAACTTTGGTCGTCCAGGTGCTGCAGATGTACGGCCCCGTGAAGGGAGCCGAGTTGATCAAAGAGAAGACGGACCGAGGGGAAACGATTGAGGACAAAAACCTGGCTGGGAACATCCTCTACCTCGTCGCGAACGACAAGCTGGAGCTCAGCAACAAGTCGGGCAAGCGGCACGAGTGGAGTGCAGAAAAAGACAATCGCCCTCAGGCAACAAGTGCTCCACCGCCTTCATCCGGATCCAGAACTACGACACCTACTCAGCCTACCCCGACCACGAACACCGAAACTCCCAATGCTGAGGAGGCCAAGCCGAAGCCCAACGACAAGCCGAAGCCCAACAAAAAACCGAAATCCCTGACACCCACAACGCCCCTGGAGAGG